ATTTTTTTAAAAATTATTTATTAATATTTTTATCCAATTATACAAATATTTAGGTTTTTTTTTTGAATAATCAAAATATATTTATTTATTTATTTATTATTTATTTATTTATTTATTTATTAATTAATTAATCAACTTATTTATTAAAAATAACTTCATCATTTATATTTTTTTATAATTAAAGGTAAATATCATAAATATTTTTTGGAATTAGGATGTTTAGATCATTTCCACAAAAAGATAGCAACATTATTATTTTATTTATTACAAGAAACACACCAATCGCCAACCTATAAAAAATAATAAAAAAAAAATTATTTATTTTAAAAAAAAAAAATTGAGGACCCACACCAAAAAATCACACCAAACATAATACCACAATTAATTACAACCAATGTTATAACACAATTAAAGAGTATCTTTTCTTGGTGGACCAAAAAAATAGAGAACAATAAAAATAAAATATAAAAAAGTTGGGTTATAACATATCCATCGATAAAATAATTTTTTTTTCATTTACCTCTTTTCTTAATTACAAATTTGTGTTTGTTTTTTTTTATTTTTTTTTATTTTTTTTGTTTTAAATTTAATTATAAATTCACACAATAATTAGTTTGGGTCATACCACAAAAAAAAAAAAAAATAATAATCATAAATCTATCTTATTTAACAACAAACTACAAACACTGATATTTAAAAAAAAAAAATAAAAAAAAAAAAAATTTAAAACCCACTCATAAAATCACACAGCCTAAAAAAAATCATTTATGTGATAAAAAAATTTTATTTTAAAAAAAAATTTTAAAAAGAAATTTTAAATATCATTTATTAGTTTTTCTTTTTAAAATAAAAAAAAAAATAATAACTAAACAAAAAAAAAAAAAAAAAACTAAAAATTAAAAAATAAACACACAATCAATACTAATTGTTCATTTGTTATAACTATAATTATTTCTTTTTTTTTTTTATTTTTTTTTTTTATTTTTTATATTTATCATAGCTTCTAAAAAAAAAAAATTTAAAAAAAATAAAATAAAAAAAAAATTTTAAAAAATTGTTTTTATTTTTTTTTTTTTAAAAAAAATTTTATAGAAAAAGCATAAGATTATTACGTCGAGCAACAAAAAAAAAAAAAAACAAATAGATAAAATTTATTTTTAAACAATATACATGTATCATATATATATAAATCAAAACCATCAAAGTTAGTCAATAAAAAAATAAAGAACATATCTTTTTTTAATTTTTTTTCAAAAAAAAAAATATATATATTTATTTATATATAAAAAAGTAAATTAATAGTAACCCACATCATACCAACATTTTATTTTGTACACTTTTAACAAATTTTTAAATATTTTTTTTTAAAACACACACAATTAAAATAGAGATATAAAATAATATATTAACCTTCAAAACTTTATTATTCACTATAGATATGGAGTCGATTGAACCTTTAGTCAATTATTGTCAAAACACTGGCAGTGGCAGAAGTAGCACTAGTAGCAGCATTAATAATGGTTATGATTCAAGTATTGTTGGTAATTGTAATAATAGTAGTTCTTCAATTGGTAGCCACAATAACAACAGTAATGGAATTCGGAGTAGAAGTAATAGTAATAGCAGTAAAAGTAGTAAATTAGAGGTTGTTAGCAGTAACAATAATAATAATAATAATAGTAATGGAAGCATTGGTAGTGGTAGCAGTAGTAATAATAATTCACCATTATCAAAATCAACCAATATATTGTCATCACCTTTAGCATCATCAACATCATCAGCTAAAAAATCACCATCTATACAGTCATCTTCACCCTCTAATAATAATAGTAGTTCTGGAACCAAAAAGAAATCCAATGGTTGTAAAAATGTAGCATTTGGTATTCTTTCAAAAGATAGAATAGATCTTCTAATGAAAATATTATCACAAAAGAATCAAATTACCTCTATTGATCAAAAGATTACCATTTATTTATCCATCGAAGAGTTGTTGGCATTGTTGATAAACGAATTAAATAAAAAATCAATCCCATTGAATAGGCTTGGGGTTAGATTGGTTGGTAGTTCTGCATCAATAATTGTACAGGGCCCATCTGCCAAACTAAAGTCTCTTCAAGATTTTAATGATATTGATCTTTGTTTTTACCTTTCAAAGAGAACAAATTTTACTCAACTTTTAGAATTAGAAGAGACCATTATAGCAAGAGAAGTTTATCGTCAATGTGGTGTCGTTATTTCAAAAAAAGATGTTTTCGAAAGATTTTTCAGAGAAAGAGTTAAAGTTTGTAATTATGCACCAAATACTAATATTTTGTCACCAGTTTCACCAATACCACAAGTTAATAATAATAGCAACAATGGCGAGTCAGTATCGACCCCAAACACACCATTAATTACTTCGATTAATAATAATAATAATAATAATAATAACAACAATGGTGCAATATCATCCAATAAAACATCGTCAACACCATCAACACCAGTAATTACTTCATTATCAACACCAAATACACCATTAGTATCATCATCCAACAATAGTAATAATATATCACCATTACCAACTACTCCATCATTCCAGTCTCAAAGCAACTATATTTTAGAAGATGATTGGTCATTAATTAGTCTCGGGGGTGGTGAAGGAGAAAATACCAGAAATATTGATATCAAATTTATAAGAAAAATACATAGAGCATATGCTTTCTCCTTAGATTCTTTTCATATCATTTTAGATCCATTAGTCCAAAATTATAAACAATTTTTACCCGAATATTCAGATAATATTGATTTAAATATTCATATGGCACTTCAAGGAAATCAAACACCAACAAATCCACCAATAATAGTTTCTGCTCCATCTACAGAAAATAATAATGATGATGAAAAAGAAAAAGAGGGAGAAAAGGAAAAAGAAAATGTAGAGCAATCAACAGAATCTGAATCGAAAACAACAAAAAATCCCCCAACATCAACAACAAATAGCGAAAGTGAAGGTGAAAATGAAAATAGTGAAAGTGAAAGTACTAGTAGTGGTGGAAATAGTAATATAAGCAGTGAAGAGGATGATTCAGCTTTATCAAGTGGCGCCCCAATGTCTCCAAAACAAGATAGTGACGAATTTGAAGATGATTCGCAACCAAAGAAACCATCACTAAATATCCCTACTCTTGATTTATCAAAAGGTATTGATCAAATGATAGGGAACCAAGTTATTTTGGAAGAGGGTTTTTCAGATTCTCAAATATCTCCATCTCCATCTCCATCTCCAACACCAACTTCCAAAACAACATCTGAAACACCTGAAATAACACCTGAAACAACATCCGAAACAACATCTGAAACAACATCTGAAACAACATCTGAAACAACATCCGAAACAACATCCGAAACAACATCCGAAACAACATCCGAAAAAACATCTAAAACAACTACTATTGAACCAGAAACCATCACAAAAGAAACAAGCACTCCTACATTAGTAACCAACACTCAACAAGATAGTGATTTCCCACCTTTAGATGGTAAATTTAAATTATCGCCCCCAGCAAAATCACAAGACGATTTCCCACCATTAAATACAAATGCCTCAAATCCAGCTTTAAACAATTCAATTTGGAATCAAAGTTTATTACAAAAATTAAAAACTCCACAAAATAAAAATCAAAATAGTCACCAACCAAATAAAAATTTAAATAGCAACAATAACAATAAATCACAAGTAGCAGCAACAACCACTCCAGCACAACAACAAAAAAGATTAAATATTCAAGTTGTCAGTATTTATGGAAATTATCACCAAGCAAAGGCAGATTTAGATAATGGTAGAATCATTTGTATTGATCCAAAATCAATTAGAAGAGGTATTTTTAGATATTGCCATGAGTTGGCCAAAGGTAGAACAACCAGTGATCATGGTTTATATGATCTAGTTTTTAGAGAATCATTTTTTACTCAAGATAGAATCAAACCGGCAGAATTCCAAATCACTTTAGTAAAATATATAAAAAAGCATAGAAACATAGCTGTATCATTTTTAAAACATTTAGAAGAACTATTATTACAACAACAAAGATTTTTAAATCTTAATAAAAAGAAAACTAAAAATACTAAAAAGAATAATAATAATAATAACAATATTACAACAACAGTGGCTTCATCACCATCCTCCTCAGCCTCTACACCATCAACTTCTCCATTGGGCTCACCAGTTTTAACAACCACATCCTCCACATTTGAAAACAATATAATACCAACAACAACTACAAATACAAATACAAATGCAAATACAACAACAACAACAT